CTGTCAAAGAGCTGTTATCTGTTGTTTTTTTCCTAAGAAGCTTAGTTGCTTCTGGCATGTAACTGTCTTTACTGCTGTATTTTTAAAACATCTCTACCTTTCCTTTTTTTTAAAAAAAAATAAATAAAAAAAAAATCCTTCATTTTCTATATCCTGATTTTCAACACAAACATGCTGGTGACTGAATAATGCCACCACCAGCTCCCAAAGAAGCAGGAAAAAAGATGATTTTTTAAATTTATGTTTTGATAAAATTGCTTTGGAGTTATAAAACACAGAGCAGATTTCTAGCACAAGCCCCCAAGTGATCTCCCTCTACCTGGACACGTCATGCTGCTGCAGCATGGAGATGGGGACACTGAGCTGCAGAGCCCAGCAAAGCCAATTGTCCCCCAACCCAAACCTCCCAATGCTGGGAGGGAACAGGGTTTGCCTGAGTGCTGGTGATGGGGAGGTTGGGCCTCCATGTGTCTCTGGCTCAGCTGTGACATACAATGATGAATGTGAAGAACCTGTCCAGCTCTTCCATAGTGACAAAGTGCCATTTGCCTGTGTCAGCTCTTCCTGCACAAGGAAGGAGCGTGCCCCATCCCTGCTCTCCCTGTCAGCAGAGGTTCAGGTGAGAAGGTGCTCTGTCCCTTTAGCTGGCATTTGCCATGCTGACATGTCCAGGGCAGCAGTGCCCAAGCCCTGGGAATGGCTGCTCCATCTGGGAAAGTGGCCAGAGTGCCCTGGAAGCCCTGCAAAAGGTTTTGTGACAGTGCAGCTGGTCTGAGCTGGACAAGGTAAGTCTGGCCATAACACAAATCCAATTGGGCTAGCCTAGTTCATTCCAGAACAAGTCTCAGTTATAAGTTACAGGGGACCCTCAGCCAACCCAGTTTGACTGAGCCTGGGAGATTCTAACCCCTATGAAAAAGGGCAACCATGTGAAACCCACTGCTGTTGTCTCAGGGATCTCTGAGAGTTTGTGTCGTTCCTGTCTCCAACCAACGACCCCACGTAGCAGGGTTTGATAGTGTATTCCAAAGGATTATTGCATCTGTTATTCTGGCCTTTTCCAGCATTACCTGTCAGAGTTTTCTGAGGTTACTGGTTGAAGCAAATACTTTCTACTGCTCCCGTTTCCAAGAACCTTTTACCCTTGACTAGACAAACGATGACATTGCCGTGTCACTAATCTTGCTGATTTTCACAGTGTTTGATAAACACTTTGGAACAGATTTCATCACATCCAGTAGATTTAATGCTTCTTTAGATAAGGCAAGTGCCTAACAGTAATACTTTCCTCAGTCAATTCAACTACAAGTAAATACTGTGTGTGATTATAGGATTAAACCTGAAGCAAAAGCCTGGTTTTGAAAGCAGTTAAAAATCTCTTGTTGAAGCTCTTCTTTCTCTCAGTTGCTGTAGAAAAGGGACTCATTTTTCCTTGACAGGTTTTCAGTTATAAAAATTGATTGTATGCTTAAAAAAACAGGTTCTTGGGAGAGCTTTAATTTCCTCTTGAAAGGATCATTTTTTAAATGGAAGTGCACTTGATTTTGGAAAATTTCAATTTTATTTATTCCAAATCTCCCTGCAAATCTATTTTTCTGCTCGATCCATTTTTCCTTTTCATGCTTGTGAAAGTTGCCATAGCTACCCATAAATTGCTGATTTTTTTTTTTCTCAATTAAATCTCAGTAGTTATGAAGAAGGATGTTGTAGCAATGAGAGGTTTCCTCTTCAGCCCCTCACCCTCTTGCTGATTGTGTGTATTAAAGCAGCAATATTTCTCTGGCTCGTACCTACCTGGTGATGCAGAACCTCAGATGTGGGGTTCCATGCTCAGAAATTACCAGGGTGGGTGTTAATATCTGTGTGGGAAATGGTAAAGCTTGGAATCCATAATGCCCAGCATGTTACGTGAGGCTCTGAGAAATCATTCCTATTGCCTGATGTATTTTAACTCTGTAATTTAGCACTGGATAGAGACCTCAAAGCTGCTCCCCAGCACTGGAAGGGTGCTCCCCAGTGACTGAAACACCCAAACATTCCAAAAGGGAAAGAAAGAGGATCTGGAAGACGCCCATTCAGCCTCACCTCAGTCCCTCTGGAAGTTTTGGAGTGGCTGACCCAAGCAGCCCTGTGCCAGATTCTGAATGGCACAGGCACTCTCACTCCTTGTCCTCCATGACTTTTTATGCATCCTGTACAAAGTGGGATATCCAGTTTAATGTAGCAGGGAAGTAGAGCTCAAGGTGAGGTTAAAATCCACCTGCTGCCCTTGGCTGATTTTCTTCCATAAGCCTGAGAGCCGAGAACTTTGCTATTGATCCCACTGAATGAAGTGAACAAAATTTTTATTATTTCATTAAAGAGAGCCACAGCAGTTCAACTCTTTCTCCTCTCAGACAGTTCCATTTTTAATTCAATAGTTGAGGCAAACAAAAAGCCTTCCTTACACAGTTTAATGATAACATATCACACCAAGCATAGCTCAGAACACTGTTGGAGTGGCTTCCTGAAACTCATCAGACTTCCCAAGTCATGATTTACTCTGGCACTCCCTCGAACATTTTAGCAATGAATCAAACTTTCTGTTTTCTGTTTCTATGGAAATAGAGCAGGAGCACTCAAGAAACCATCTACTTTGTCTCAGCTGATGAACAGATGAGGGAAACACCATTCCAAATTTTAGAGCTGGTTCAGAACCCACACAAGGTAAGAGCTTTAGTCTGAGTCTGATGTTTTAAGGACATTGTGTGTCAAGGCAGGATTTGAGGGCTGTGTCACTGCCTCTGGGGCTGTCTGGGTAACACTGGTTAATTATATTAATATTTCTATGACATATTTCTTTGGAAAATGCAAAGGCATCGTGTATTCTTCCCTGTGAGGGTGGGGAGGCCCTGGCACAGGTTGTCCCATCCCTGAAAGTATTCAGGGCCAGGTTGGATGGGGCTTGGAGCAACCTGGGGTACTGGAAGGTGTCCTAGGTGCTTTGTAACCCAAATCCCTCAGTGATTCCATGGTTCTGTGACATAAACAAATGTTGCTTTTGAAGCAGCCATCGTGGTGCCCAGTGTGCTGTGTTGTGAGCAAAAACAACTCAGACCATATTTCCAGACATGTTTTCTTTATACACAGGTGCAAAGGATGGACAAACACCTGGTTATACCAGCAGTTGATTTGGCAGCTCTTACTTCAATTAAAAAAATAAGTAAATTAATTAATTAATCTATGTGGGGTGCATCATAAAGCAATATCCAAGTAGCCTTGGCTGTCACTTGATCTACAACACGTGCAGCTTTTAGAAATGTTTGCAGTGCTTACAGAATATGCAGCAGCATCTAAAGCCCCTTAGAAGGTGTAGGCTGCTGGTGTAAAGGGACCTTTCTGAGAAATAGATGGTATTTTCTTCATGGGAGATGAAATAACTCAGTAAAATAATGGGATTACATCCTTTATGTAATTTTAATGAAGTGAAGTCAATTTTGTGGTCAACATTCTTGGCAAGGGTTGTATCTGTTTTAAATGATGGTTTATTTTAATGTTTTTTTTTCACACTGTCATGCTGGTGCCCAAGGGAAACCCTTCCTGGAGCAGAGCCTCCATTCCATTTGTGCTGGACTTCCCTGGGACCTTCAGCTCACTGGAACAACTGCAGACGTGTTATTAAAGCTGAATATTTGAATTAATTCTGGAACTAAAAACATGCTGAAAAACTCACATCCCAAATTTAAAATGCCTACGGCAACACTATTGTTACTTATTTATTTTTCCTAGAATTATTTTCCATTCTTCAAATGTGACAGGCTGAAGTGTGTGACCTGGAAGATGTCTCAAATTTTGCCAAATTTAAAGGACATGGGAATCTCACCTTTGCCATAGTGAAATTCGATTCTATTTTATCCCTTTGGTTTGTCACTATTTAATTTGGAAAACTGACTAATCCCTTTTTTCTGATGTCTGCTTTCACCATCTTCATATCTTCAGGAAAAAAAAAAAAATTCTGTAAGAATTTTTCGAATAAGTAAGCCTTGTAGGGCTTTGGGAATCTCAGCTTACCCTTTAGATGTTTGACAGGCTGGAGAATATATTAATGTATAACAACAAAAGGAAATGATGATACATCTTCGCTCCTCTGAAAAACTGTCTGCTTAAAATGAGACTTTTAAAATGAACACTGGAAAGAAACCCTTGTAAAAAGCTTGTTTTCTTTTGACAAGGTATAAAGTTGCTTTCTCTACTTTTTTTTTTTTAAGAAAAAGGAACAAATTCATTTTTTTTTCCTGCTTAAACTAATTTGAGGTGGAGGAGAAGGAATGGAATGGCTTAATTATTTGCATGGTAATTTTTGCTTTTCTGCAGGAGAGTGAACATGTGTATATGAAAACCTTTATTAATAATTCCCAGGCGTGTGGCAGAAACATGATTTGTGTCAGTCAAATATCCAAGTTATTTGTTTCATTACATGCAATATAATTGCATTTTATCCTCCTGGTTCCAAGAGCTGAATGTTGTACCACACTTCTTTTTGCTAGGTGCTGCAGAAGAGATGTAATTGAGCTTCAGTAAATGAATTTTGAAGTTGTTGTGGAAAATCAGTTTGCCCAGCTATGCCAGTGGTTTTCTAGAGAGTGACTGTGAACTTCTGGATTCTGGGTTAAAATAAATTGGCTCTAATACTTTGGGTCAGGCTGTGCTTTCAGGGGCACTACCAGGAAAGCTGAAGTCATAAATGTGGGCCAGCAATCCCACCTGTGCAGGTGTGCCTTTCTTTCTCTGCCTGAATGACAGCAGGGAGAATGCAAATAGTGCCCATGGCCACTAAAAGGAAATCACTTCCCTGGAGAAGAGGCAATACACACCACTGGTGACCTGTCCTGCCTTGTAAGGGCCTCTTTTTCTGGCCACAAACAGGTGCTTAAGTGGGACAGGATCATCAGGGTCAGAAGGTTTTTGGGTGTTTTCACACAGCTCTGTGTGAGTGGTTGCCAGCCCTCAGGGCAGGACCAGGCCGGAATTACCCTCACCAGCTTCAGCTGGCCTTCAGCCTGGAGCTGCAGCCCTTCAGCCCCAGAAGGCTCTTTATAGGCTCAGCCTAAAGGTTCAGGTTTGGGTAGAACTGGTTTGAGGCTCTCTGCTCCCTGTCCTTTGCTGAGTTATTGTTTGGATTTTCTGGACTGACTTGGCTGAGGAAGACTGGATGGGTTTTGTTGCTGTCATCATCCTGGCTCTGCTCAGCTGGATCAGGAGCCCCACCTGTGAGGTCAGAAACTCTGGTTTTAAGAACAGAGCAATGGGGTGACTTAATATAAACTGTGATTTTCTGAAGCACTAGGCATGACAAATGTGTCCTGCCTCTTTCAGAGTGCTTAGATTTTAAACCTCTGCTTGGAATTTAGCCGGCTTACTTGGAAACAGTTAGCTGTCTGCAGTGAAATACAAATCATCTGACATTTAGTAGTGGATTCAAATGAACTGTTTTACTATGGAAGGTGTAATGGCTTAGTATTTAAAAATAATTTTTGTGTGTATGGGAAAGTCAAAAGATCTTGTACCTTACACATTGTTTTTTCTCCTGAAACTGTTTTAAGCCTAGCATGTGCAGATTCAATTCGCCACCTACTTAAATTAATCAGATTTGGTAGGGAAGTCACTGAGCTTGCTCTTCTGAGAGCTGTGTGAGTGTAAAATGTCAGGAGGCTTCATTTCCCTCGTTTCTGAATGGGTGGGGCATGCACTGGCTTTCCTAGGGAGGGATAGAGCCTTCAGAGAGACTTTTTAAATGCTCAGGGTGTGACAGCACAGCTAATGCTGTGATGTTTCCAGATCATAACATCTGCTGTGAAACTCTGAGTGTTGGGATGGTGTTGGATGCTCGTTGTTCTGGATGCTCTGGGAGGTGGCAGGACAACAGCAGTGTGGAGTTTTGCCTCACAGCCATCTATTTGAGTTAATATTTCAACCTGCCCAGGTCTGCCTCCTCAGCTACAGTTTGTGAGCAAAGGCCCACTCAGGGCTGACAGTAAGATTCTGAGAAGATGCACATGTACAAAAAACCTCTTTAAAATACCAATTTAGGAAGCAGATTTCTAGGGACAATGCTTGCACATTGTTTTCTGGCTTCTTTCGTCAGGCCCAAGATTTGATGCTAGCTGGTACTGAGAGAAGTGGCCTGTAAATGTCTACTTCTTTCTGCTGAAGGCAGTTTACTTTTCATGGAGCACAGATTTCCTGTGATTCAAACAAAATTTCTTTCTAACCAGGTTGGCTTTCCCTCAGGCAAAAAAAACCCACTGTCCTACACAGCCATTGGACTTGCATTGGTGTCCTTAGGTGGTTTACTGTAAGAACAAAGTTCATCCAAAGATCCCACATGAAAAAGATCCATTTCCAAGGAGCTGTATTGATGGTCCTTTGATTTGTCTCTTGTGTTTTTGAGATTTAGCTTTTTTTGAGGTTTTTAGCTGCCTGTTTGGCCATGATGTAAAGCACAGCTATATTTACACTAGCTGTTAATCTGATTCTGTAAACACCAGATGAAACTTAAACATGGACACAGGCACATTCCCAAACTGTCACTGCTGTGACAACACAGTTCTGTCCAGAAATGCAAGAGAAAACCATAAGGAAAAAGATGTAGGACAGTAGGATTTGGGAGAGGTGAGGGTGGCACATTGTTCTCTAGTGGCTTGTTCCATAGGCTGTGACAAACACAACAAAATTGTCCTAGAGGCTGGATGGAAGATGTTTTCAATTTAACTTTCTAAGCAAGTTGAGGCTACACACTCACACTTTTCTATCCACCTGTTCACACACACTGAGACATGACCTCGAGTAGGCCGGGTGGGATTTCTCCCACAAAGGCCAGCACTCAAATATACATTGCATCCTCAAGTTCCTTTTGATTACCAGCTCATGAAGTCACATATTCCTGAGTAATGAATAAATTATACCGATCTGAATAAATGATACTGTTTCAGCTCAAGGCCCTTCAGCTATGAAGGGTAATGGGCTGGCACTGAACCATTCCTTTTAAAATTGGTGTAGGATGTGGCTAGATTTGCTAAACCAGGCTTCTGGCAGGGTGTGGAAAGGATGAAAGTACTGGTTTCAGGAAGTGGTTACCTTCTTAGTGGTAAACTGTATTGCACATACAGTGAGGCCACACTTGAGTGCTGTGTCCAGTTCTGTCCCCTCACTTTGGGAAGGACCTTGAGATGTTTGAGCACGTCCAGAGGAGGCAACGAGGCTGGTGAGGGGCTGGGAACACAAACCCTGTGAGGAACGGCTGAGGGAGCTGGGGTTGTTTATCCTGGAGAAAAGGAGACTCAGAGGTGTTCTTACCACTCCCTGAAAGGTGGCTGTGGGCAGGTGGGGTTGGTCTCTTTCTCCAGGCAGCAGCTGACAGAACAGAGGACACAGTCTTAAGCTGCACCAGGGGAAATACAGGTTGGATATTAAGAAAAAGTTTTTTACAGAAAGAATGATAAAGCACTGGAATGGTTTGCCTGGGGAGGTGGTGGAGTCACCACCCCTGGATGTGTTAAAAAACAGACTGGATGTGGCACTTGGTGCCATGGTTTAGTTGAGGTGTTAGGGCATGGGTTGGACTTGATCTTGAAGGTCTCTTCCAGCCTGGTGATTCTGTGTACGCCTCCCAAATTCATGGTGATGGATTCAAGCACATACAGCCCTGGGTTCTCAGGCCTCCAGCACAGTCAGGATCCTTGCTGTCCTGCTGCTACCCTTGGAAAGGTGCCAGTCAGGGAAGGGCTTGGCTGTGAGGAAGGTTTGGAATCAAGCAAGGTAGGTTTAGCATCCCACTGAAATTGTCAGTACACATTGCTCAAGTGGTCAGGGAGCTGGCTTTGGTAATGTGATATTTCGCTCAGCATCTGCTCCAGGCTTATGCTCCCCAGCAGCAGCAAAATCACTTGGAAAACAACCCTTGGTAAACAATTTAGGTAATAATTAAAGTCAATCAAACCTCTGATGATTTGTGGGGTGGGATGGGGCCATTGCAGTGTTGTGTCTGACTGCTGGGAATGAAGGCAGAGATGAACCACACAGCATAAATAAAGCATTTTGAGATGTGGAAGACCAGGGCTTGTATAGGTCAGGAAGAACCAAGCCTGAATCATTAAAATTGACTACTTTTAAGGGACCATTTTCCCTTTTATTGTCCTGCTTTGTTGACATTCCTTAATCTCTAGTAAATCTTATTGCATGCAATAGAAATATTCAGACTCCTGCAAAAGGGCTTCAGGAGGGCTCTTTTTTAGGGCTATGGCTCATTTAGTTTGAGTTTTGGTGGTGGTGGTTTTGGTTTCCACTCCCACTCCTCCAGATAGTTGTACTATGAACATTATGTATGTTCTGTAGTAAATGCATAAAAGTACATTAAAGGTTTTAGGTCATTAAATTGGAATATCAGGAAAAATGCTTGAAGGGAAATGCCTGCTAAATAATACAAGCATTGACAAATATTATCTTTCAAGTGAAGAAAATATTTTTTTCATCTAAAATGATAGTTAGAGTAAATTATTCCACTTTAATAGAACATTGGTGGAATGAGCAAATAACAGGAAACATGGGAGCAGTGGGGGCGGTTCAGAAATCAGTGAGTTAAGGTCACAATGACCAGATCCCAGAAACAATGCACCCATCTGGAAAGTTCTCTATCTTCCTGAGGATTAAGAAACACTTCCTTGAGAGATTTCGTGAGAGCATATTTAAGTGACTCAGACATTCCTATAGCCCCTCTTGTACAAATTCTGGGATCTAGTGGGAGTTCCATATGGGTTTTGGTTTTTTTTAATCTTATAATGGATATTTAAATAAGAAATTTAATATCTTTTCTGATGTTTTTAAACTAATTCTTCTCACAGCAAATATCAAGAGCAAAAGTAATCACTTTCAGGGAAAAGTACAAATTTATTTTTTTTCAACATTAGCTTTGAGTGCCATAAATATAATAGATGTACAGAATAACTGTTAAGGTATATTTATAAGCAAATGTAAAAGCAGATTTTTTCTTGGATGCATTTTTCCCTTGATAGAGATTCTTAAGATACTCTTAAGTTCTCACAAAACTTTACATATAATACATATTCAATATATTGCTGAGAAGTTTGGTGTTTAAAGAGTTTCTCTGTAAGAATGGGTTAGACACTTTGATGCCTTAGGCGAAGTAATGTGTGATTGAATCATTTACAATAGAATCAAATTTGGGATTGAGAAATACTGTTCCATGTGAGAAAACAAACTTCAGAGCCTCTTTGGGTTCAAGGTGCTGCATAAACTTCTCTGGGCCAGGTTGCTCTTGAATTATACGGTGCTAATAGGGTGTGCTGCATATTAAATAGGTTGATAATAAAAGCAGAAAAATAATTGTGCCCGGCAGGCAAAGAACATTGATCTGTCTTTTGTGGTTGCCATCTTATTTGTGACAAATATCAAAGCTTATTGCTGCTTTAACTCAGAAGAGTTATATCTGCCTGGCAAAGTGATTCCTGGCTGTTCTAAATGCAGCAGGTGAGCACTGTCAGTACAGCTGAAATGAAAACAGGGCAGTTTTTATAGCATGCTTTGCTTGTGGTCAGTGAGAATTGCTGAGAGACATGTCCTGCCTCCTTGGTTCTCCATCCAGTGAGCCCAGACCATCGTGCTCTGTGTCACTGCCATGTGTGCCAGCGTGTGCAGGGGGGTGCCAGCTGTCACACAGTTCCCCAATTAACCACATCTTTCACCCTCCTTAATTAAAGGAAGGGAGCAAGCCAACCTCACAAGTTGTGCGGGCTTTTTTTACTTTCTTTCATGTTCTCTAGCTGTCAAAATGTTCATTACTCACATGCTGAGCATTTGTTGCGAAATTCCTCTTGTGCCTTCTCTCCTTGCACCTTTAACAATTGAAGGGTTAGGGCAAAATGTTCAGGAATGGGCAGCCCCCTTGTAAGATAGGCTGAAAATCTATCTTCAGTACTGAGGGTGTTCTAAAAGAGACCATGTTGTAGCTGGACTCTTGGAGATTAGCCATAAATAGTAGATGGTCTAGTGTTTTCCACTGTTTTCCCGTTAGTGCTTCCTGAGAAATATACCAGTACTGGAGGATGCTGAGTTTAAGTGCTGCAAGTATTGATTAGTTAATGATCAAAAGCAATTCTTGATTGAAGATCTGGGTTGTATTACTAATTCATTATCTACCACAAGTGTGGATTTAAGAGTGTGTGAGCCTTGAGTGGTTACCCCATTAGCATCTCAGCT